GGCACTGTGGTCTCTGAGGAGGAACAGCGTAGCGGCGGGATGAAGGCCATAGTGCCTAGCTCAAAGGCCATGCTAGAGTGCGGACAGGCAGAAACCAGGGGCCCACATCAAGGGAGGAACAACCAGACCTCTTAGCTTCCTGGAAAAAGACACTCAACAGATACATTGTTGTCTGACCACTGGGCTGGGCCCTGTAGAAGCTGCTTAGGAAGGGATTAGAAAGAGTCTATGTTGCCACATACGAAACTGCCCATCTTCAAACAGAACACACCGGGAGGATGGTTCCAGTGAAATTCTGAGAATTGGGGCAAAACAATAAAGAAAAACCGGGCTTTTCAACTTAGAGAAACTCCATCAACTTAGTGAGGAAATGAGTTACAGAAGAAATAGAAACAGCCTTCAAGTGAGAAGTGGCCCTGGCTGGTGTGGCTCAGTTGGTTGAGCATCATCCTGTGCACCAAAAGGTCTCAGGTTCGATTCCTGGTCAGGGCACATAACCAGGTTTCGGGATTGATCCCCGGTTGGGGCACATGCAGGAGGCAACCAATCGATGTTTCTCTCTCTCTCTCTACCCCCCTATCCTTTTCTCTCTAAAACCAATAAAAACATATATATTGTTTAAAAAGGTGAGACGTGTGCTCCAAATATCTGAGAGCAAATGCATTCTGGTCAAATGTATTCAGAATCTCATTTCACTGCTCCTAAAAATGCTTCACCATTGGGGTGTGTTTTTCTTTCTTTATCCTCCTGCTGGGCCCTCTCTGGCCAGGCTTGCCCATCTTCCCTCTGCACGCCACACATGCCTGAACACTACCAAATCTAAAGTGTGACTGCTGCACTGAACGTGACCGATCCCACCAGTACAACACGATTCTGCGGTCTCCAAGCTTTTCGCAGCCTAAGTGGAAAACAATCTAAGCACACCCGCAATGTACGTGCACATTTGTACACAGATTATATATATATAACGATTCCTATCAGCCCATATATTAAGCACCGTAAATCTGCACTTCAGACCACTAGGAGAGCCACAGAGTCTCCAAAGATTGAGGGAAGGAACGTTTTTGTGGGAAAGACAGGTCTGGATTGGCCCGGACCCACCCCTTCCTCATATGGGAGGGAGGGGCTCCTCTCTCAAGGGAGGAGTTCTCTGTAGGCAGGCTCTGGGAAGCAGAGTGCAGGACTCATTGCTTTCTGTTGCAAATTCTCCAAATGACACATCTCAACACGATAGAAGGTCTCAAGGTGCTTCATTTCCCTACTTCATTCATGAGGAATTTCCCCATCAACCTGCTATTGGATGTATTGAGCAACCAATGAGGATCCCGCCTTGCTCTGTTATCTCATTAGCAGTTACACAACGTTGCTTTTCTAATTCTCAGATTCTTCTGCATTTATTAGCTGTGATTTCTCCATGATTAACAACGTTCTCTCATCAACTATTTATTTAACTGTCTTCAAATACAATTTGTCTTAGGAAATCAGGATCAGAGCTGGATTCTTTCCCTATACTTTTCAGGGTAACGAACAGGTGTCCTAGGAACTTGCAAAGGTGATCGATTGATTCTGCAGGTTTTTCTCCTTTGAAGTATCATGGATTCTAGACTCATGGGATTATCATTGGTCTGATTTCAATCCACTGCAGTCATTATTCATGTTGATGTTCTAACTACCCTATCTTGGCTCCTGTGTCCTTCTGCCCGCACCCTGCTGGTCGGCCTCAGCCTCCTTGCGGTCTGGCGTGACAAGACGGCCAGCTGGCACGCTGCCTCCCCGAGACCTGGAACCAGCTACTTGTACGCAGGAGGCTCCTTTAGGAGGAAGGGTGTTAGGGAATCCCAGTCCAAGTGCTAAAAATACTCCTTGCTAGTAAGTCATCTTTACTTTTGGTCCTTTTCAAAGTATGGAGCTGGGAAACATTATCTTTTTCAAGAAAGGAAAAAAGTTCATTGAATATTATACAGTCTTTACTTGAATTCAAGTACTCGCCCTTTCTTACATTCTGAAAATTTGGTTCCTGCAGTACACCTGCAATATTTTCAAATAACAATATAAATGTTTCCCAGTATAAATGTTTGGTCAAAGACTGTGTTTTGAAGTCACTTGAAATAATTATTTTCTCTGTGTGAGAGATTAACACCAACCTGATATCACTAGGTTTGTTTTATTTTTCTCAATCGGTTTCAGTTATTACTGAATACTTTCCTCTTTTTGATTTTTCTAAGTTATACAAAATATTTAATTGTCCCAAAGTTGAAATAAGGTACATAAAGAGACATCTAGTTTCTATCCCTGACCCTGCACACTCTTTCTCCAGTGATAATCATTTTTATTAGTTTATTCTTCTGAAAATACAAGCAAATTCATATGCACTAATGTATTCATATTCCTCCTCCATACCTTTCTTATATACAAGGGAGAAACTCTACACACTGCCCTACACTTTGGTTTTTATCACGTAATCTATCCCTGACCCCCCTCCAGGCAGTGGAGACCTTCGTCATTTTCCAGCTACACAGTACTTGGCGCTATCAAGGGCTCCGTCATTCGCTCAGTCCCGTTAGGAACATTTGGGTTATTTCTAGTGTATTACAAATAGTGCCACAATAAATGGCCTTTGCACAGGCCTTTTAAAATTTTTGCTCAGCTATCTTTGGGACAGATTCCCAGATATGATCCGTTCGATCCAAGGAAAGAGGTGTTGGTAGTTCTGCAAGATGACGAACCCACCTTCCCGCCGCTGGGGCTGGGCGGCTTCTCACCACCAGGGAGGGAAGGTCCGTTTTCCCGAGTGTCCCGCAGGAACAGGGAGGCCAGCAAACTCCCACGTGGGCCAACCGGACATGTGGGCGTGGTACCTCGGTGCAGTTTGAAAACCCACTTCTCTTTATCGGGAGTGAGGCTAACATGTTTTCAGCTGTTTGAGGTAACACATCTCATTTTCCTCTGAACTGGTAATAGCTTTTGCCCATTTTGATACTGGATTGTAGATTTTTTTACTCCTTTTTTACAAGTTTTTTATATATTAGTGATGCTAACCCTCTGCTATACAGAATTTGCTTACGGTGTTACTATTGTTTTGGGCATACAAGTTTTTTTTTTTTAAAGGGCTATCAAATGTATCTGTTTCCCCCTTGATTCCTGCTGAAGACTTAGTTGGCTGGGGCATGTACACACCTCCCAGGTTAACAGGCATTAATCTGTTTTCATGTCTAATTACATTGTAAGCAGTGACTTTCTTTCAATTCAATCAACCAATACTGTGGATATCCTCCATTTATGAACAACAAAATAAGTTTCTCAAGACTCTGAGTTCCAACATTCCAAAAGAGAACTTTGTAACACTTTCTGGAAAAGCTGCTTATTTCTGCTCCCCGAATACAGAGAAACTCCCTCTGGTGGAGGCGTACACATACACATACCACCTCCAGACCCAGCTACCACTTCGCAGCTGGTGTAACACACAGCTTACGTCGTAGGTTATTTTGTGCCACCTCATCCCGGCCCCTCAGTTACACATGCTTTAGCATGCTGACCAGCCACCTGTCACCTAACAAGCCATGCATTAGTTCGCCCCCTAAACTGTGTCCCAGGGACAGGACAGTTCCAGGAACAAGAGTCATCATGCTACCATGCCTGTAACACTCTCACAAATCTCTCCGAGCTAAAAGGAACAAACATGAGCTGATTTTAAAATTAACCTTTCTTAGTTCTCCCTTCTTAACACCCAGGGATTAGTCCCCTGTGTCTGAGGTTCCGTTTAGACAACCTGAGAACAGTCATTTTCAGGAAGCAGGCAGCCACACAGGAAGAGGCAGGGCAGGGGTCTCTTGGGTCGTAATTATACAAAGGAAACAGATTCACACCTCAGATATCCATTTTGGGATGGAAACCTCTGGATTAAAATGATCTGATCATTTTAGAAAACAGGAGTTCTCCACTGTGAGCATCCAAATGAACTGTTTACTCAGGTGCCTTTCATTTGCAGATGTGAACTTCACCTCACCCCTAAGAGCTACTGACTGAACACTATCAAATACGGCTTCACAGTACTCAGCTAATTATAAATGAAATGAGGCTCAGCCAGGTAAACTGATAGTAGCAGTAAGAAATGGAGAAAGCAGGGTAAAAAGCATCACAGAGACAGAAAAAGGCCAGGAGCCGAGGCAAGGGCCGGTTGGTTCGGCATCTTTCATTGAGCTTCCGTCACCGCCTGAAACAGTCCCCTCTTGGCAACAACGCACCACGTGAACAAGAGAAGCGAGATTTCCTTTGAGGCCCCGCATTGAACAAGTTGGCAAAGTATGAAGCAGTTTTCAAAAGTTGCATTTAAAAAAGGTTGCCCTGGCCAGTTTGGTTCAGCGGTTAGAGCGTTGGCCTGCGGTCCAGAGAGACCCGGGTTCGGTTCCCGCTAAGGGCACGTACCTCGGTTGCAGTTTGTCCCCGGCCCTGGTTGGTCGTGCAGGTGGCAGCCACTCGATGTGTCCCTTTCACATTGATGTTTCTCTCCCTCCCTCCCACTCTATCTGAACAAAAAATGGGAAAATGTCCTCGGGTTAGGATAAAAAAATAAATAAATAAATAAATAAGGCTAACTTTTTCCTTTGCAAAATTTGATGCTTACTAATTAAGGTTCAGCTATTGGGAAAATGTGTGGACACAGAAGACCTTCATTCCTTGTCACAGAGCCTTGCGGCATGACCGGGGCCAGGCCCTGCCAATCCAGAGTCCACCCGGCGCCCTTTTCCGATGCTTTCTCGTTCTACTTCCTATGGAAACATTTTCCTCCAGAACATTCCTAAGCCTTCTCACAAAATGCTCACGTGGCTTTTTGATTGTAATTTAAAAACAATTCAGTTATTCCCAAGGCTCAGGTTCAATAGCACATACTTCTACAGCGCGGGGCCCGGGAATCATAACCCAAAACACACGGCCGTCCCTGTCCTTGCCCACTGGTCTCGGTGGCATTCTGGAGGGCAGAGGGGAGCACAGGTACTCACGGAACATGGTGTAAAACTGCTGCGGGTTCAGATTCCACTTTCCCCAGGGTGTCTTGTGGCCTTTCGACTGGGCGTAGTTAGCATGGTTAAACTCCGGCTCGGTGCCAAACGAGTCCAGGACGCGGAGCATGCATCTGGAAGGACAAAGTGCTGAGGGTGAAACTACAACCTTGACCCAAAGTTCAAGGAGTAAAAGCTGTAACGCCTCTTTCAGGCACTGCTGAAGATGGACAGTTACTTTTAGTGAGAAACGCTGCTGGACAGGAGCTGCGGGGTTTTAAAACAGCTTGTATGACAGAGCACCTCCACGTGTGACCGAGTCCGCCCTCCTGCAGCAGACACGATGTGCTTCAGAGGATCACTCACGTAGCAGCGAAATAGAAAGTTCTCCAGAGCCCCCTGGCCGGGTGACTCAGTTGGCGGGAGCATTATAACATACATCAGAAGGTTGCAGGTTCAATCCCTCGTCTGGGCGTATATGGGAGGCAACCTATCCATGTTTCTCTCTCTCCCTCTCTTCTTCTCTCTCTAAAATCAACACACATGTCCTCGGTTGAGGATTTAAAACAAAGATTAAGAAAAAAAGCTCCTGCCCAGCCAGTGTGGCTCAGTGGTTGAGTGTCGACCCATGCACTGAGGTCGCTGGTTTGATTCCCAGTCAGGGCACATGCCCCAGTGAGGGTCATGCAGGAGGCGGCCAATCGATGTTCTCTCTCATTGTTTCCATCTCTCTCTCCTTCTCCCTTCCTTTCTCTCTAAAACCAAAAAAAAAAAAAAAAAAGCAAAGAAAAAAAGCTCCTCAAAGCTGGACCTGCAGAGTGCATGCTCAGTGTTGTGCCCCAGCCAGGACCAGACAGTGGAGCCTAATGACACCTGTGGAAGAAGCAAAGAACTACCATTGTTTAGAGGTTGCTATGTATGGTGTGTGTCCCTCCAAATTCAAGTGCTGAAATCCTAATCCCCAAAGGTGATGGTGTTAGTAGATGGGGTTGTTGGGGGATGATCAGGTCATGAGGGTGGAGCCCTTGTAAATGGGATTAGTGCCCTTATAAAGGAAACTCCGCATTGCTCCCTAGCCCATTCCATCATGTGAGAATCCAAGAAGTCTAAAACCTGGAAGACAGCCCTCACTTGACCGTGCTCACACCCTGGCTCGGGCTTCCCGTTTCCAGAACTGGGAGCAATGGATGCCTTCCCAGTCTGTGACGCTGTGCGGCTTGCGGCCTGAGCAATGACGATGGAGGTCGTACTCTGCTTAAAGCCCATGGCATGCCTCACCGCTTTCAACAACCCTTCAACACTTTCACCCATTAATTAGAGCATGTGATTTTAGGTAAAGCTTGGAATCTTACTCAGTAGGCGGCAGTGAATTTCTGTGTTTGATAGAATACTACTGCTTTCTCCCAGAGCCTGAAGAAGTGAAACTGAAGATATTTCATTCGGCTGTTCCACCAAAGCCTCGTAGGGCTGACCAAATCCGGTCTACCGCCCATTTCTGTAGGGCCTTTGAGCTAATAATACCTTCCTGTTTATAGATAATTAAACTATAAAAAGAATATTTTGTAACATGTGAAAATCATATGAAACTCAATTTTCAGCACTCAAAAATAAATTTTTATTTGAACATAGCTACGCCCAGTTATTTACATATTATCTGTGGTTGCTTTCACACAAGAACAGTAGAGAGAGAGGGAAAGAGGCCACATGGCCAGCAAGGCCTGAAATACTGACTCTTGGGCCCTTTACAGAAAAAGCCTGCTGACCACCACTTTGGAGTGCACATGGAATGACCAAGCAGAAGAAAGGAATTGATACTGAAACAGGAATTTATTGATTTTGGTTACATTTATTTCATTACTGATTCTCAAAACATTGATGTAAATTTAGCTCATAAATGGTCAGTAAAAACAGCACTATTTTCTGTTGTTTTATATCAATACTGCTTCTGTACAGCTCTTACTGGGCCAATAAGCATAAAAGTAAATAAAGACTAAAGCCAACATTTTAGAATCAGAGGATGGCAATGACTTGTAAGTATTTGATTCAGTTTCTTTCTTCCCTTTTCTACTCTCAGGAAGTTCATTCTTCCAACTTTTTTTTTTAATCCTCACCTGAGGGTATGTTTACTGATTTTAGACAGAGAAAGGGAGAGGGAGAGAACGAGGGAGAGAGGGAGGAAAGGAGGGAGGGAGAGAGATGTGACCGGGATGGAACCTGCAACCTAGGTATGTGCCCTGACCAGGAATCAAACCAGTGACCTTTCGGTATGTGGGGCGAGCTCCAACCAACTGAGCCACACCGGCCAGGGCCCATCTTTTTATTTTTACATCAATGTGTGATTCAGAAAAAAGGTGCAAACACCATATTGGTTTTCCAGGAGGAGCAACAGGACACTGCCACTCTGGCGGGATGACTTCCTCATCGGAGACCACCATCACTGTCCAGACACGGAAGAAAGAGGGAAGGCAGATGGAAGAAGGGTGGTCGGCGTGTAGTGACATGCACACCGATCGCAGAAAGCCTCTCCTTGTGTTGACTTCCTGTGTGGCTCTCAAGGAACACGCTATCCTCTCAGTAACCATTTCCACAATATCAACAAGAACCTGCGAACAGCCAACAGGTAGACAGCAACGGATGTTCATGTCGCCCACGTTGCAGCAAACACAAAGGTAGGGACACAAGGAACTGACCCAGGCATGTTTCTCCTTCTCTTAGTACAGCTCTCTTCTTAGAAAACATTCCTATGTCTCAACTTACAGTTTTCCCTTTAAAAGAAGATGCAAAAGGAACTGACTAGAGCCAGTATATGATCTTCTGAGGTCACAGCAGTGTCCAGGAAACAGCCGGATGACAGCGGCAGGTCTGCAGGCTGCTGGGAGACAGGGAGCATGTGCACTGCCAGGTGGGGCTGGGAAGGTTCAGCTGTGGAGGAACAGAGCTGGGTTCGAGGACCACGGCACTCTGCAGGGACCCTTATCACAGGGTCCTTTGCCTTGGAGGCTCTGGCTGCTCCCACTGATGTGCAATCCACTCTCGCAGTCTACATTCCTCTCCAACTTTGCCTTGTCACTCTATTTTTAACTTGGAATTCTACTGGTGTTATTTTCAATGTGGATAATAAAAATAAATGCTCATGAGTAAAGACGGATGGTAGTCGCCTGACTCCCGAAAGCCTGGGCTTCCATCTAGTGCCTGGGTGTCTGCTACGTGACACTGGGCTCTCGCCGACAGGAGGCTCCAGAATGAATCTCGGATACCTGTAATTCTACATCCTCACACTTGAAGCTCTGAGTTAGGAAATGTCTATTTATTTTCTTTTTAGCTTATTTGGGTTTGTTTGACAACCAGAGGTAGGAGACTGATCTCTGTCTGGGACAGAGGAGGCTTAACATTAGAGCTTTCCTTCCTTCTTCAATCACATTCTACATCTGTGTGTTGGAATTGTGTTTGCGCTGTTAACATCGACGCCCTTCCTCTGGTGTCCTGTGTGTGTGCGGAGCATCAGAGACAGACGAAGACTTCGGAAGAGATCTGCCCTGCTGCCTGAGCAGCCAGCCTCCTCTGACAGGCTCCCTGCCGCCATGCCGACGACGCCTGGACTATTGTCTCGGCTCTAAGCCACACCATTATGGGATGGATGCTCATAACCTCCTTGGCAGGACCTACTTTCTAATGTGGAGCTTGATGCAAAACATGGTGTCTGTTCCACTATGTGCGTCTCCCTGTCTTGTGTGCGTTCTCAGTGCTCAGCAAAGGCCTCACGTGAAGCAAAGCGGGCATGAGCTTTGCATACCCAGCAGTATACTAGTCACATACAGATGTTTAATAAATATGTAACTGAGTTTCCTGGGCCCTTACATAAATTCGACAGAATTTACAAAGATCAACATTTTCCAAGATGACTCAAGGGTTTGCCTCCAAATGAAAAATCAGAAGATAACTTCACATTTAATGGAATTCCTATCATCTACCATCCACCGAGATGAACACAGACAGCCCTGACAATTTCTAATCTTCAAAAGGGAAATAAACAGGCAAAAACTTTTTAAAAGACCTGCTTGGCCTTCTGAGGAAACCTCACCACACCACGCGGGCGGCAGGGCCGGGGCACAAACACACCTCCGGCCACCAGCAGTACCAGCCGGCGTCTATTGAAGGAAGGAGGGGCGCACATCACCCTCCACCACAGACCCCCTGCGTGGCGTCTTCTCATCCAACAAGAATCAAATACCAATTAGTGGTGAGCACTGTAATAATAAAATTGTCCTTTTTAATTGACCTGAATATTGTGACCTACCACTGAGAATATTTTCCCATCCAAACAGCCCTCCTTAATGGGGAGGTTATGGGAGGCCAGGGATGCCCGCAACGCGCCGTCCCTGCGGCGCGTTTATCACACGCCTGCCATCTGCAAAGGCCAGAACGCGACAGCACTGCCTTTCTTTCATTTTTAATGCTGTAGCCAAAAAAGAAAACAAAAATGTTTGTTTACTTACATGGCTCATTAACCAAGAAGAGAGATGGTTTTATTTCCATGTAACTGAGAACACATGTGATGGGCTGGGACTCACGAAGATTTCAAGAACACCCCAAACCAGGAAAAATCGGATTCGGAAGGTAGAGTGCTAGCCAGGCCCAAACCAAATTTTTATTTTGCTATTTTATGAGACACTGTCCAAAGACAATGAAAAGCACAGGGTCTCTGCTCGGTCGGTCCCTCTCCTCTGCCCACGAGCAACTCACTGCCCAGGGAGGAAATCACTGCTACTACAAGGAAACTCCACGACGGTGGTGCTTTCCCCGTGTTTTTGAGAAGAATCTTAATGTTTTGAATTTTCAATTCTTTCCATTCCAAAGGACTTCCAATCTGACATAACCTTGTAGATGAAAGTTAAGAATATTAAACTATATAATGAACATAACAGTCTGAAGAATACAGTAGACCCAGAAACATGGAAGTAGGGCACAGACTGACATCCCTCAGAAGAGGGGGTGGGGGGTGGGAAGAGATAAACCACAGAACTTATATGCATGTATGCATGACCAATAGACATGGACAACTAAGCCGGGGATGGGGCAGGGATGGGGTGGGGAGGGGGGTGCCAATGGGGTAAAAAAGGTAAAATATCTGTAACAAAAAAATAAATAAAAAATTAAAAAAAAAAAAAAAAGAATATTAAACTATAGACTAAACTGAAATGAAAAAACTTTGCCCTGGCCGGTTTGGCTCAGCGGTTAGAGTGTCGGCCTGTGGTCCAGAGAGACCCGGGTTCGGTTCCCGCCAAGGGCATGTACCTCGGTTGCAGTTTGTCCCCGGCCCCGGTTGGTCTTACGGGTGGCAGCCACTCGATGTGTCCCTTTCATGTCGATGTTTCTCTCTCTCTTCCTCTCTCTCCCTCCCACTCTATCTGAACAAAAAATGGAAAAAAATGTCCTTGGGTGAGGATAAAAAAAAAAAATGAAGAAACCTAGTTCAGGCTGTTAATGATTCATTTATTGGTTAAGTCAAAAGAATACAAGGAAACATCTCTTTACCGAGTATCAATGGAAAAGAAGCACATGGAGGGGTTTCCAACTTGTTCTAATTGAAAGATTTTCAGGGTGCTCTCTTAGGAAGGTGGTTTCAACTATGGTCAACAATTACTATCATTGACAAAAGTGGTACTAACCACGATTTGTACCCAAATTCATGCACCATGGACACTATTAAACAAATCTAAAGTTTATTTAAATTTATTCACCTTTTAAAATGTATTGGAAACTTTTATAGACCCTAAGTAAAAGCCAGTATTAATTGCAATAAATGGAAGACAACAAAGAAGCATGTCATTGTTCTTTAACAAGTATTATTAAAGTCAAACTAGATACTTTTGTCTGCTGAAGGCTGAAACGTACAAGTACTAGCACTTTGTCATTTATTGTTGTGCTGTGTATCATGTAAAAGCAGTTCACGTCCTAACTCATGGCCCACACCCAACCAGGGGCACTGAGCTCGTCTACTAAATAATAACGACCGGGCACCGAGATGCACAGTATGAGGCTGTGTTGCAAAGTGCAGGACCCCAGCATTCAGCCAAGCTATCCCCCAGCCCTCTCTTCCAAGAATGACAAGATACTACAATCGGCCCTCGTCTATCGCGGTTAATCAGTTCCAGACGCTACCGTAATAAATGAATTTCCACAAAGTAGGATTCTTTATTTATATACAGTCGTCCCTCGCCACTTCGCGCTTCGACTGTCACGGGTTCACTCTACCGTGGTTTTTTCAACCGCGATAGAGTGAAGCCGTCGAAGCGCGAAGTGGCGAGGGGCGACTGTATTGGGAGAAAGGTGGAGAGAAATGAGTCATTATCTCAAGCCTAAGACACAGAAGAAATGACACTGTCCTTATTTGATCAAAATCGCTACTTGATTAGACAGATGGGATTGCTGTGGGCATACCGAGGGAGGAATGCTAAGTATTAGGGAAGGTAAAAAGAAGGTTGGACGCTTGTTTTCTCTTCTTGAGAGAAATCAGTGAAAATAATGAATAGCCCTTGAAGGTAAGAAGTCACCGTGGAGGATCTGAATTTCAATTAGGAATGGGAAACACACTCCACACAGTTCAAAAGATATTCAATAAGCTTTTTTCTACCTACAACCATTCAACCCTTGTTTAAAAAAAATAAAAAGCTCTACAAACTTACGAACAGCATGTAGCACTTACTGGTAATGAACCCAGGATGGTCCGAGAGTTTTCTTGAATTGAGCGAGTCCGACAATATCAATATAAATGAGTTCAACGATTCTGTCTCCTACAGTTGGGCAGCCAGATCGGTTTCCTACAACCTTCTTCATTATTCTAGGGAAAGGGCAGAAGAGAGGGAAAAAAAGAAAACTGATTTTCTTCAAAGTATTATACTTAGCACCTTTAACAGGCAAACGGACATCCAAGAGCCCTTATCAGAACGGCACAGCCCTTCCCCATCCACTGCCTCTCCAAATCCTGCCCACCATTCAGGGCCCACCCAGAGCCCTGACTTCGACTCTTGTAAAAGCAAACCAAGCTGTATAAACACAGCCTTTGAAACCCAGGAAGACGGGGATCTGAATTGGTCTCCCCTATCCACCAGCTGAGATCTTAGACAAGTTACTTACCCTCAGCATCTTTCCTCATTCTCAAACAAACCCCCATGAAACCGGCCTGGACAGCAGCCTCTCAGGGACCCTCTGGTGCTTGAAGGAGGTATTGGGCGGAACGTGCCCAGTGCACAGAGATACTGTCCATCCCTTATTGACTCCTATCTCTAGCTCTACAGAACAGACTTCTTTCCACACTGCCTCGTACCGTTTCCTAACTTTTCCTCTTATACGGAATTGTCCCCTCTGACTACACTACCACACGGGTTATACCTCTGTGTCACCCTTTCCCACCAGCCACCCACACCGATGGACGTGCACTCAGAGGGCCCACGTCCTGGCACCCCCTTCACACGAGGAGTAAACCGCGAAGGGCACTGCCTCTCCCCAGACGTGGGTCCTCTGAGCCAGTCATCTCAGCCCGCAGCGGTCCTTCACCCTGTTCTGGCGGGACACCCTGCTGCAGAGGACGGGAGCCATGGACACGGCCCCTGCCTCGCGCGCCCTGCTCCTCAGCTCTGTTCCCGACACGCAGTTCCTTCCCGCGAATTTGAGTGTTTTCTTTTGTAAGGGGTCGGAGAGTACATACTTTCATCTTTGGAGGCCACGTGTTCTCTGTGGTAGCTACTCCACTCTGCCACTGCAGAAGGAAAGCAGTCCGAGGATACATGACCAGTGCGGTCGCTCCCAGGAAACTTCATTACAAACAAGGGCCGGACTAGACTCGGCCTCCTGAGCCACCGCTCCCCACCTTGCTCCACCCGGTACTCAGTGGCTCCCACACCTGTCCGCACACCGGAATGACCTGCAGGCATCGACAGGCCCTGAGGCCTGTATCCCATCCCTGAAGGCTGTGACTTAATCAGTCTGAGATAGGGTCTGGGCTCGGGAGTCTGAGATCCCAGGAGCTTCCAATGCACAGACGTGTTTGGGAACCACTGCTCTGTGATGTTCCCACGATTACCTTCTCAAGTAAAACACATCTGTCTATCACCAGTGCTTAAGATTTCTGCAGGCTTCCTCTGGACCACAAAACTAAGTCTTTGCCTGACAGAGCCCCCCACCTGCCTTTCCTGACCTCCCTAGAAAGCACCTGTCCCTGGGGCTCCAACAGTTTTTCATTTGTTTACCCACCCACCCATTTCCCCTCCACTTATTCATCCTGTCCTCCTTCGTTCGGTAAACAGTTATGAGCACCCACTGAGGGGGGCTGGGCACTCTTCTAGGTGCTAAATAACAGGGAGAACAATATTCTCACAGTTTCTCCACTTCCTGTGCTTCCATCCTAACATCCTCACCTCAATTAGTACTAATCACATTGTAATTAGTGTAATTATTATGCAAGGTATCGGTTGTAATTAAAAGAATGGCATCTCCTTGAACACATGTGGGTCACCTGTCTATCCCTCACCCAGAACCAGCCCACGGAAGGCACTGCAGGAAGGGGTACCAACTGCAGGCACCTGCTCCCTAGGCCGTGTTCCCAGTGCGCTGGACCGCCAGCAGGAGGCGCAGGAGGCCGCATGCGAAAGGGACCGCGTGGTGGCGAAGGCTTCAGAAGACTTTGGGTTTATCTAGATCTGAAGGGAGCAACGTGGCACAGTGGTCAAGAGCACAGGCTTTGGGGTCAGACGGACAAGGGGCTCGAGGCCTGACTCTCACACATATTTTCCATGTGACCTTTAAACAACTCATCTACAGTCTGAACTCCCGTTTCCTCATCTTTAAAACGCAGAAAGCAACAGCGCCTACTTCCAGGTTTGTGCTAAGGACGAAATAAGATGAAAACACATACAACGCACAGTATCTGATGTACCGTCCGTGCTCAACAGATCTGAGCTGTTACTAGTCATGGTGGTTGTCATCACCGCTGAAACTGCTATTGTAAGTAAAGCTCTTATCACAGTTTCAGCCTATGGAAAGCCTTTAACAAATGACAGCCGATACCAGCTTACTGATACTGCCTTCATCTCAACACTGCCACTGGTCAAGTGTGGCCCTGGGACCTAACGCAAGTGACCTCTCTGGCAGTCAGTATCTTGCACAGACAAGTAGGAGCAAGATGGGACACGTTCCCTGAGCACAGAATGTTCATCCAAGGTGTTTCTTCTGGAACACTTGACCTATTACAGATGCTAACTTGGCTGTCGGGTGAAAATCTCGGCGGGCAGTTATCTGAAAGGGGTGAAGCAGCCCCGAACATCCCTGCTCGGCCAGCTGTGTCAATCGAAAGGAGATTAAGAGAGGACTGGAGCTACACAGGAGCCCCCGTGAAATAGAAAACCCAGGTCGAGTTAACAGCCTCGGAGCTGAAAGTTGGCTAATTGAAAAAGGATTGGATCAGGGCTTTCAGGAAACTCATTGTATCCAAATTAAATTATAAACAGGAACCTGCCCTGTTTCAAGATTTAGAAAGCTTGATGTTGAGTAGGGAATGGTATGCATTTCAGCAAGAGACAGGGAATTAAGCAAGTCAATAATGCCTTGTGCTGCAGATGTTGGAAGCACCTGCAATAGCAAAGAATAAGCCCCTTGGTTTGAATTTTCTGGCATTCATTTATGAAGCCTCTGGAGCCTGCAGCTACAGCGAAAACATATTATCCTTTCACGGTGAATGTATTTAGCTCCTGAAAATAATCTTCTTATCTCCTGTTTAGTGAATTATCACTTTCATTTTCCTCCACAAGAAATTACACAGTAATAGAGGGCTTTGAGAGTTTACAATTTCTTTTTTTGTATCCTGATTTTAAAATTGAAAAGTAATCTCCTTACTCCTTCAGCTCAGCCAGCGAAGCCGAAATCCTAATGTCATGGCCCAGTAAGTACAGAGATGTAATTAAATCACTCCACTGAACTAATTCACCCAGAGGGCCGCCGCTGAAAGCTGTCTCCGCGATCTTAAATCCGGATTCCTTCGTCAGGAGGCCCAGGTGGACAAGGACCTGCAAAAAACAAAGAAGAGGCGCATCCTGATGATTCCCAATCAGTCAAGTGCAAACTCCACAGTGACACACGAGAAAGCGATCAACCGGCTCGAATACCATGTCACATTCTACTAAAATCTCAATGTGGAGTAAGCAGTTTTTCAGAGAAGTGAAAAGGACGAAAACGACTTTTCACTGTTGTCTTAGAGAGACAACTGCCCTTGGTGCGGGTATGAGAGTGTGGTATGGATGGATAACCCTTCTGGAAAGAAGGATATCTTTGAAAAGTCACAACGAAAGGAGACAATGAAATATCTTTGGACAGTGTTGGGCTTTCCCCCACAGCTGGAACACCTGTATGCGTTCAGCATGGACAATTTTAAGTACACACTAAGGCAGACATGACAATACAGTCAATTCCGATGTACTCATCCCACGACTTCAACAATTATCAACTCATGACAAATCTTATTCTTCAATAAGTACCCATCATTTTCTCCCAACCCCGCCAGCTTATCTTGAAACAAATCCTAGACATCATGTTTTCATCTATACATACTGCAATTTGTATCTCTAAAAGAAACAAATCTTTACTTAAAATAACTGTAACATCAACACCCCTGGAATGGATGTTCATTCCTTAATATTATCCAGCTCCCAGTCAGTGCTTACGTTCCTCAGTGTCCCTTATTTCTTCCAGCATAGCTGGTTCGATAAGAAGTCAGATAAAGAGCACAAACTGTGCTTGCCTCGTGCATCTCTCCGCCGTCTTTAACCTGCAATAGTGCCCGATGACCCTTTTGGGGGTGATGGACTTGCCATTTGTATGTCAAAGAAACTGGGCTATATTTCCAGGAGTCTCTCTCACACTCTGATTTTGCCGACTGTATTGATGCTACATTAGTAACCAGACCTACAGACATGACTAGATTCATATTCATGGCAGTTCTACTTTGTAGGCGGTACCGGGCACTTCTGGCGATGGAACCCGTCTCTGTCGGGGGATGTGCGCAGTTACTGAGGATCACTAGCTACGTAAGTGCATTAGTCCGTGAAGGGGGCCAGAATGGTCACATCCTCCCATTCCTTCTGTACTTATTAGCTGGATTACTTCTATAATGAGAAACTACCCCACATCAACTGTTCAGGTTCTCTGAAACACAGTTTACATTAAAAAAAGAAAAAGCCTGGTAAATACTTTGGTCTTTCCCTTTATTTACCAGTTTAAAAAATAATTGTTCTTTAGTGACCAATGAAAACTTAAAAAAATATATATACACACACATATCATTATAAAATCACAACTATAAGTATATTTGCTGTGTTTTAATGAACTGCTGTTGTTATTCTTACGATTATCAAATTGTCTCATCTTGGCCAACAGGGGGCTATTTGAGGTGGCTTCTGAGTTCTCCGAGGGCACCAGCAGCCTTTGATGGTTTCCTTTCCTTCTGGTGTGACAAGGTGTTCCGACCTCATCACACACAGCTCCTCCTCAGACCTTAATCAGCCATTTTCCAAAGCCTCGTGTGCCGTCGGTAGAAACGGTATTTAGAGATTAAAGGCTGGTGCTAGATCACCACTGTAGCCTTTTCAGTGGGCACAACTAGAAAGTTTATTTTTCCTCAAGGTTAAAACGAATTATGAGTTCATACTGGTTTTTCCAAATCAAACTGAGGATTACAGTATCTTTACATAACATTATCCGTCTGACAGCTGTTATTTCCTCTCTCCCACACTGAAAATCCCAGTTTTCAAGGACACTAGCATAATTACTTGCTTTATTTCAATACGCACAGTGGATTCAAAATGAGAATATCAGCGCCGCCACCTCCTACGTGATTAGTAAAAATTGTGGAAAGATATTTTTGCAGATTTTTGTCCTTTGTAATAAATACCCCATTAGAAATGTTCAATGTGCCATGTTCCAAAGTCAACAAGAACAGTCCTTCTCTGTGCATTTGTAGTAAAACTGGATGTGCAGTGAGTTCATTTGTTTTATATTCCTTGTGATTTTCAAGTACTGCTTTTTATTGATATATTTTTACATTCATGTAAAATGATTCCAGTATCAAATCGACAAAAGTAAGACATACTCAGACAAGTCTGGTTTCTATACCTGTTGTGTCTACGCTATCCCCTTCCTCCCCTTATTTGGCCTTTTTTTTTTATTGTGGTAAAGTATACATAACATAAAATTTACCATTTTAATCATTTAAAAAAAATATGAGCAAGAAGTATATGTATATCATATATATACATTATATGTGTGTGCATATACGTATGCATCTATATGTACACATGGAGGTATAGATACATAGATAAATTCTCTCCCCTTTTAAAATAATGTTTACTATTCTCCACCTAACATTTCTTCACCTAAGACTATATCCTGGAGGTTACTGTACATGATTATATAGAATTATTCTTTACTTCTTTTTACAGCCCACTTGGATCTCTGACCTACTCTTCCACAGAGGACTACTTGGTGCTGGGACCTGTGGTCCTGTGGCCTCACACACTCGAGGGATCTAAGCAGAACTGACCCATCAAACCAGACTTGGGATTTGGAAGTTTATCTGTCTTTTCTTTTTAGAGCATAACAAATTAGTCAAATTAATACCAAACTCATTTTTTATTTATTTTGGATAAGGAACGTGGAGTTACGTTGCTCAGTTGTTCATCATCAGAACAGTTCGTCTAAAGCCACGGCCACTTCGCCTCTAACCAACAGGCTGTGAGACTCCCCGTGCTCAGGGGTACGCTGGAGTTTCCTGTGCCCCGGAGTTTTCCAAGCATCTCCTCCTGAGCTGGAACACAGTGGCTCAAGTTTACGTATTAGCATCGCTCTCTCTCAAGAATGTACCAGAAACACCGGCCAAACAGAGCAGTAATGGAAGTCACCGGCTGCCAAAACCCCACAACTGACGAACTCCAAAAATGTGAAACTGTCATAATGATGTGACAGGAAGTTCTCAAAGTTGTATTCAGGTAAAGAAAAGAGGGTTCGTTTCCTGACACCACTGAGCGAGACAGTCAGTGGGCTGAAAGGAAAATCCTACAGGCAGATATTCTGCTTGGGTTCACCCAGGAGACGTGCGCCCGTCCTTGCTAAGTGGGGCGACGGTGACTGGGGAGAGGCGACCCAGTGCTGGCTGTGCAGGCGACCGAGGAGACTCACGGGGCGCAGCGCTGAGGCACGACACCGCTCTCAGTCGTGGTTCCAAGCACATCGAATTTTTTTTTAATTTATTTTAGTTATGTATTTATTTATAATTAATTAATTTATTTTTGTTACAGATGTTTCTCCTTTTTCCCCCACTGATTCCCCCCTCCCCGCCCTGTCCCCAGCCTTGTTGTCCATGTCCATTGGTCATGCACACATGCATATAAGTTTTGTGGTTTATCTACCTCCCACCCCCTCCTCAGGGGATTGTCAGTCTGTACCCCACTTCCACGTCTCTGGGACTACCCCCTTCCTCAGACTGTTATGTTCATTATATTCCACAAATAAGTGAGATCAAGCACAGCAAATTTTAAAAGAAGACCAGTATCTAACTGAACGGAATTAATTACAAACTCACTTTCTTCCTCTTTCTCTTTTCAAGATTCTGCTTTTCTGCCAGGGACTTGATTGCTTGGATCCACGCGTCAGCCATTCGCCGGATCCGCAGTCTCATCCACCGGAATTCTTCATGCTTTTTCATCATACTGTAGAGAATGTTAAAATCTGTACGAATTTCCGCCTAGAAACAGAAATTTAATGAAGATGAGTAGGAGAGGAAAAGTCAGAAAGCACAATGGTTTGCGCGAAGGGACATGAAACGAGACAGGGCTCAGAGGTGCGTCTTGGCGGCTGCACAGCTTTCCCCCGAGGCCCCGGGGCAGCAGACCGGGGCAAAGGCCCCGACAACAGGTCTGCCATAAGCAACCTCACTGAAAAAATTAGAAACTGGGAAAGAAAGCACAGTCATTGCAGAGCTCTGAACTACGTTAAAATGCATTTTTTATAATGAGAATGTTTGATGTCCCTTGAAATTCTTTGCACCTAAATTTATTGGCCATTTCAATGCACTGCAGGGCAGCAGACTCCTGGGGAAACCGAAGTCAGCTCTGAGCAGGCTACCTGGTACTGTGGGTGCTGCCAAAGGCCACCTTCTGTCCACAAAATTAAGTGGGGAAATACATTCTCCTCTTCCAGTGTTCTCTCAGTCCAAACAAACAAAAGTTCATTATTTTCTAAAGAATATAAAAGCCAGGAAAAACATTTCCCTATCACAACTGAATGAAATTTAAAATTCAGGCCAGAAGTATGTAAAAGCCAGGAAGACCGTATTTGTCGTATGGCTGGATACAACCAGTGATTAAAATAACAGAAAAATAATAACACTGGTATGGTTTCCTGTAACATCTAGAACATGCTGAATCCAACGTTTAGCAGTCACCACAGTTCACTGGAAACACTTATCTGATCACGGCCCTCCCTGCTCCACACGTCCCCCACCTTCCCACAACTGAACTGATGGGTCTTGGGCCAAAGCCTCCTCGCTGCCGGTTTTGGACACGAACTTTTATTGGAACACGGCTGTGCCTGTTGGTTTACGTCCTGTCTGCAGCTGCCCTCTGTGCTACAAAGTAAGAATTCAGGAGTTGCGACAGGCCTTATGGCCTACAAAGATGAGAATATTAACATCTGGCCTTTTACAAAGAAGTTTGCAGATCCCCAGTCTAAAGACTAAAGACAAGCTCGTAGTGTGGCGTGTAAAGTCCTCCCCGTTCCCCTAACTACTGTTCCAATCTCTCCTTCACCCTAATTATCCAAACCCCTCTGGCCTCGTCGCACTGAATGCACACGCCCTACTCCCCGAACACGCCGAGCTCTCACACATGCACCTGCTCCCTTCAGGCACACACCTTATCTCCCGGACCTGTATAAACTCACTCATCGCTTTACATTCAGCTCCAGTGCCCTCTCTCTGCCATCCCTGCAGGCCGAGATCACCACTTCCTCACTCATTTCCGCGGGTCTGCGTTCGAGCATTTACACAGGCATGGTCACTATGACGACTGCCGTCCTCATCAGACCGAGGGCCTGCCCCTCGGGCACCAGGTCTCGCCGCAGCAGCCTGTCACTTACGAATGCTCGGAGAATTGATCAACAAATATATGCTGACTGGTTGACTGATCTGGGCACCAAAATTTCCATAGGATTGAAGGTAGAAGTTCTTCAGTTTACCACTATTTCAGATCACAGCTGGCATTTCTAGAAGACTCCACATGTATCGACTGGCATCAGACCCAAACCAAAAGCCCAATAAAAGGTTTCCAAAATCACTTACTAATGAATTATGATCAGCTTCTTCGTAGGGATTTTTTGCTCTCCAAGGTAAATGAGGACACCAGTTTTCAACCTGAAAAATATAAATCAGAGACACTAAGTACACTGGCTCATCTGGAAATGAACTGCTGTGTACAGAAAGCCCTGAGCTCAGCTCCTGACCACCATGAGCAGTACGTGTAAGTGGGTTATCATTATTAATCAGAGCCCCTTGCTTTCAGCCAGCAATCCAGAGCAAGTGCCCTTTCAGATGAAAAAATAATCAGCAAAGGTCCCAAGGAGCATACGATTACACTGTACATGTGTCCTTCACAGTATTTGACAGTGGCTGATCCCTTCATCATTCAATCCTCACATTTCTACACCAGGAGGCGGGTCTTACAGCAGAAAGCTAAGACTTGAACATTCCCTCAGGGGAATGAGAGGAAAAGTTGCCTCTGCCATTCAGCAACAGGACGGGGGAGATTCGCATCTGCCGCAGCACGCCTGCACAGGAGACTGCAGCGCCCCGGTGCCGGAAGTCAGTTCCTTATCTCAGAATCAGGAATGCAGCTGGTGGCTGGAGGCTAACGACCGAGGCTTTCCCTCCTGTTCTGGCTGTGCACTTCACGCTATCACAAGGAATAAGATAATAAAAACGACTGGAGAAATAGATGAAAGGAAAAAGAAAAAGGAACCCTCAGCGATTCTGTGAGAACCATTCTGGAAGATGGATTGTTCTGTCGATGCACAGGAGTTCAGAGAGTTGGGGGAAGAAGAAAGAGAAAGGAAAAGTGCCAGTTTTCACGGGAATCATTTCAACAAAGGTCACCAGAGACTATTCGGTGAATTCACAATTTGTAGTAAAGAAAAAATAAAAAAATGCATTGGGTAATAATGATGTCTGACCTCATTGTCAAAACCGGCCATGCAATTCCAAGATAACATACCACCCAATAACTAGTGTATAATGAGATTCTTAAAGATGGATAATAAACGGCCATTGAAAGTAATGTTTTCTATGGCCAGGTGGGCCTGCAGAAATGAACAAAGCAGGAGGTCGGCGGAAGTCCTTGCAAGGTCCCTGAGAATGCAGGGACACGTGTGAGACCCCAGCCTCCTGGGCCAGTCATGCAGCGTCCCCCAGCTGTGGTGAGTTTTCAAAGTTGCACTAACCTAGAAACTGAGCTCTAAGCAAGGTGTTTTTTACTAAGACCAAAATAACTGGCGGGTCTGCACTCGGCCGGCCCCTGCAAACGACCTGAAAGCAATAAGCAGAGGGCGGCAAAGCTTGGGGGAGGGCAGAATCCCTGGACAGGAAAAGTGCAATATTCTCTTTCCCTTCTTGCGGAATAAAATTAGACTTTACTGTATTTGTGAATGACTTCAGAGGCTCAAAAGGACTCCCATGAAAGGCAGCATCTGGGGCTCCACGAATGAGAAAGATGAAGGAAAACCAGCAGAAAAGAAGTGAGCCAGAGGATGCGCCCCAGCTCCCCAGCAGCGCTGCACAGCCCTGGGCCTTACTCTGCTAGGGCAGGTGCAGTTCTTTAGTTCACGTTAAATCGCTGTAAATGGACTCATTAAAACATTGCTACAAAACACATTTATGACGTGAAGGCTCTGAATGAACTGCAGACCTGACCGAGAGACCTTCAGCCCCGTGCCAAAGGGGTTGGATGAGAAGCAGGGCACACATTTGCAGTCAACCTCACACTAAAAAAATGACTAAATTGTACGCAGCAACATGTCAGGATAAAAAATTTCCTCGTGAGCAGCAAGGTAGGGGCAGGCGGAACAAGACTAGAACAAAGAAAATCAACCAAAAGGAGAGACGTTCGTGAGCTCAGATACTGTTAAAGGCAAGTGCATCCCCTCCTCGCTCCCCTGCCCTAAGAAGGGTCTTCCCAAACTCGCTCTGACGAAAATATAGCCCAAGGTGATCTTCTAAAATATGACTTCCCTACGGAATACTCAAGGCTGTCATTCTTCTTTGAAACTGGTCATTTATCTCAGTTCTTGCTGCTCTGAGTGACTGGGCAACACTCTGAACGGCTTCAAGGGCACCCCTGCAAGTATGGGAAATGGAGTCGGTCTGTCTGGCTCTCAGCAAGAAAGCTTACTGTCACACCTTCGCTCGGAATGGAGGAAAAACGACCATCCGCACCGTAACACAGAACGAGGAAGGTGAGTTCGTAAGGCTGCTTTTGCACACAGTGGTAGGATAACCGTTAAGATAATTAAATCACACATAAACCCATTTCTCCATGGGGAGAGGGGGGAAACCATTTCTTTCTGAACCTCAGGAGTACCAGGCCTGGAAGAAAGCCAGCCCTGGCAATAACTCCAGGCCACAAAACAGCCCTCGATGAGCAACCCTTTCCTAAATAAGTCATTAGTAACACTCAGGGAAAGTCTTGCTCAAGGCTAATAACTCAACCTCCTCACCCCCGTTTTCTCTCTGATCTACTCAGGCTCCTTTAACAAACTTTACCCCCCAGCACGGCATCCTACCAGGAAAGCTGGACCCCGGAATAAGCCCACTGCCTTCCTGATCTGGACGCTCTCCTATTTCAAATCGTTCTTATCATCTCCGCTCCTCCTGGGTCTCAGAACGCCACTGTCCTACTTCTGCCTCCTTCCTGCACCGCCTTGGCCACACTTTCCCGGCTGTGACCCTGGGCTCTCCCTGGACAGGACTGTGTATGTGCCCTCGGTGCAGGCACGCGGCTAGACCCTCCCACGGAACACCCCCACCCCGCCCGACTCCTGTGAGCTGGCAGCCCTGCCCAAGCCCTCTGCCAGGGTCGGGGTTGCACACCCTTAAAACAGTCCACAAATCACCACAGCAAGTCCAAGACCTGAAAACCAACCGAGTTCATGGCAACACACATTAAGAATCCATAGAGGAGCAGAACCATTACTCTAATATCCTTGGATTTGAAGACAAAGCTTCTTCCATGGAAACTAATCTCTTCAGCGCACTGGCCTCAGGCAACAAAATGAAGAGGCAGCAAAATCAGAATAAGACCCGTCAGACTAGACCTTTGGAACATTAACGCACATTCCACTGAGGGGTCCCGTAAATCACCCGCTTGAACTAGGAGATATAACATAAACCAATTTGATTCCTGACATCCCTCCTTCCAATGATTTAAACTCCTTTGATCTGAGAAGGCTTTGCAGCTTAATCATGAATGATGTGAATCGAGGTCCCTAAACAGCACCCAGGTAGGTCCCACTGTTAAGGTCTATACGATGGACAATTCAGTATACCAAAGAAAAACAGTGGCTAGTGGATTTGTATACAGCTCGAATTGGCATTTAAAGGGGGAAAGATGTGATGAAATGACAGCAAAAACTAGAGGAGATTTAACATATATGCATGTACTTCGGTATAAATGGCATAACTCTTCGTGGTAACGTTCAATTCTTCTGAAAGAATAATGATCAGGCTCTGTTGTGGCTTCTGGTCTCATGATACTGGTAAGTATTTTGCTCTAATGGAGCGCTGACATAGAATTTCATGCTGTATTTTTCAGACAGTGAAGTGCAATCAAAACTAAATGAGAAAAATGCAAGAAAAAGTCTGAGATTACCTCTGGATGATGATGTTAGAGGTGCTTTTCACTTCCTTCCTTATGCTAATCTGTGTATTATGATTTTTTACAATGAAGACTTATTAATAGAATAAGTTCTAAAGGAGTTGTATTATATAAACATCCATTAATTTCTGAAGGTTCACAGTGTGACAGGGTCTCTGGGAAAAAACAAACAAGCTGGCATAGGTTATGCCGTTTAACCCCGGAGGTGCCCTGTGGCACAGGTGCCATCGCCAGGCTCGCGGAAGGAAATCACGGCTCACAGGGCTTGCAAACTTGCGAGGTACGCTCACTAGTGAGCAGAAGGGCTGGGTGACAACTGGCATCTGTCACTCCCCTGACCCGCGCATGTTAGAGACACCTTAACGGCCAACCTTAGCGAAGGACAAGAGCAGAAGAGAGAACTGAATCTGAAACCAGCCAAATGGATTCTATGCCCGACTCTACAAACAACTAGGACTATAACCTTACACCATTTGGCTTTCAAGTTTTCTCATCTACAAAATGAAGGAGTTGGCTCAGGTGACCCCTTAATAATTCTATTACACCTCTGGCCAGTGTGGCTCAGTGGTTGAGCATCAACCCAGGCACCAAGAGGTCACCGGTTCGATTTCTTGTCAGGGCACATGCCCAGGGCCGGATCCCCAGTGGGGGGCATGCAGGAGGCAGCCAATCAATGTTCTCTCTCATCAGTGTTCCCACCTCTCTCTCCCTCTCCCTTCCTCTCTTTCTCTACCATCAATAAAGAAAAAATAATAATTCTATTACACTACAAGATCTGAAAAAGATAATTTTACATAATCCTGTCAGGCTAGCTGGTTGCATATCCAAAGTACAGTTGACTATACATCTGTTCATTTGATACACTAATTATACACACATATACACACACATATTTGTTATACTGAAAACATACCAAATGCTGTTACTCATTAAGGTATATGCTTAAAATAAAGAGACGTCTCTACTCCACTCCACCCTGATGCACTTCCTTTCTCAAGTCTCAAAGGCAATGCAAATGGTAAAAGATAACTAGACATGCAAGTGGTTCAGCTCTCGGGACTGGTCCTGTGCACCACACAGCTGAGCTGATTACTATTTTGGCCAAACTGCTTGTTAGAAATGGGGGCTGGGTGGGGAAACAAAGATCCGAACAAAAGGCACACTATACAGAGACAAGCATTAGGCTGAGCACTTCACACATATTATTTCATTTGGTCTTCCACAAATCCTCTGGGAAAGGCCACTAGACATGCCAGATGAAGCCACTGGCACCGCGAACACACAGCTGGGCACTGGAGACGTCAGGCACCCCAGAGCCTGCGCACGTCACCACCACGCGATGCCCATAGAAACCAGACATTTGGTTCCTGCAGTCCCATAAGCACAGTCCAGTCTTCACAATTAGTGCCCCTGCTGAAACCTTCTACACAGACGCCTTCACAACAGGTGTCTATGCTCCAGCTGCTTGCCGCTACTGTAAGCTGTATTA